AGGGTGATCATGTGGCCACACTCGCTCATGTTTTTGCAATCCCTTTTCTGGACAATGACATCACCTGCAACTCTCAGTCTGATCGGCCCAAGTAAAAACCATGAATTAATATCTTCAACACCTCAGACCTACTTTACAATACATAACCTAGAATTCAAGAGGTTAGGAGAGGAAAAAAACCCTGAATGCAGAATTTCAGAACTAACATTAAGATTAAACACTGCAAAGAAATTTAATTGTTCCTATCAATGCCTTTCCGCTGAATACTGAATAACGGATGATAACTGGATAAGTTAAGAAAGCCTGGAATATCTAAAACTCTAGCTGTGGTAATAAGGTGTTACATATCCAACACCTGACAGCACCTTTGACGGTTTTTCTGTTCCATCCAATGGAAAACGTCTGTGCAGTAAAAGCTTTGTAATTTGGCATTTGTAGATGAACTGAAGAGTTGATCCAATCTAATTTCGCGTCCATTTTACGATATTGCACACTGCCACAATTTATTCACTGATTCTTCCGATCTTTGTTAGTTTCCAGTTTGATTCCGTACCAGGAGGTTGACCGACTCAATGACATCCAAGAAGACTTCGTTTTTCCGGTACTTGATGCCCTCCGACCTCCAGGACACTGCGTTGGTGACGGTGGCGGGGGGGCGGGGGGCTCCAGTGTCCAGCTTGTGTCCTTCCTGTGTGATATACCTGGAGAAAGACATGGATTGAGGGATACCATCCTCATCTTTCCATGCAATCCCATGGGATCAGAGCAACTAAAGGCAACTGTGGCAAAGATCATGAATCTGCAACACAAAGACTAGTATATTATTATTTAATAATAATAATACAAAAAAAAAACTAGAAAATGGCTAAATGTGTTAAAACTACAAGGAATGCTGAAAAAATGGGAACACTCACTCCTGCAGGATTTTACTATCTGTAGTTTGAGGGTAACCAAAGTCCATCAGCTCATCCATCAGCTCGTAGATGATGACAAAATTATCCCGAATACTCTCCTCTTCCAGCTCCTTGAAATACTCGGAGAAGACCTGCGAAACACCACAGGACAGCGTCAGTCCACACAGCTGAGATACTAGTGTCAGCAACACCAATTCATTTTTTTCGTCATCAGATATGTTTTTCTCAATACCTAACACGTGCCAGTAATTTTGTCATTCCAAGATATTGCATCTTCCCTGCTGTATTTTTGGACACACAAGAAATAAAGCTGGTAAGTATAAAAAGGTTGCAGAGCCGACTATAGAATTTGTTTGAAAAACAGGATTCAAAATGTTGTGCAAGACTTTGTTAAACGTGCACAGAGGATCAAATTTTAAAAGGTTTTGTAAGAGGTAATTTTTTATTTTAAGATTTTAAAAATAGGGCAGGGGCACCTTTTATGATAGTAAACCGATTTCAATAGAACACATAACCCAGAACTGTACTCGCATTAAAGAGCATTATCGTGGAAAGCACAAAGATTTTTTATTGCCAACAGAAACACTGCTTTTGAGGTACAGAAATGAACAAGCACATGAAGTCATTTTGCCTTCTCCAGGTTTCCTGCGAGCTGCTAATCTCGTTGGACTGGATCTAGTTCATTTACATCTCTCCTTCAAACCAACGTCAAGAACAAAAAGACATGCACACATGTGCAGTGGAAACTGCATGCAAAGCCTAGGCACTAAAAAGATGAATCACAACAATTCTAAACGTTTATTTTGGGCCAGAAGAAATAAAACCCACCTGAACAATCTTGTAGAGGAAGGAGAAGACCAAGGAGACACAGGCGTTTTTCTTGGAGGTTGCAACAACTGTTGAAATGACATGTTAAAGAAAGCAAGAGCTGGTGTTGTTTTAGCCACGCTTTAGATTGAAGTCGATTAAATGAAAAGTATAGTCCAGTCATCAACAATTTACTAAATGCATTATCTATATAACAAGAATATTAATAAAACATCCATCAACAGGCAGTGGTCATGAGGGTTAAGGCTGGGTTAAGGTTAGGATCAGCATGAACACAGCTGTGTCAGTACAGCTCAGAGGGACAAGGTGTCAGAGCAATCGGAAAAGGCCAATTTTAAAGGAGATTTTTAACTGGGAGCTCTAAAAGCAGGGAAGGAGTCATTTTACTCTCTCGTCTCCCCACACTCTTGCCGATCCAGGCCACTGAAAGGATACGGTACAGGTTATTGTGTTTGATCCACATGAAGCGAACACCTCCGTGGGCCAGAATCGGGGACAGGGTGCCCTCCTCCTCCTTGTCCATCAGAATGGGCATGAAGTGCTCGATCTCGGACATGTCCACATCTCCACGGTAATTCCGGCAGATGAGCACCTGGCATTCAAAGACAAGTGAGTAACGACTTCGGAGGAAATACAAGATTCCCATCAAGAGGAAAACGCGATGCCTGAACAGTCCCACCAGTCGCTCTCCTAAATCGATTTCACACTTCATAGCTTTTGTCCCTTTGGAACTCAAGCTATACTGCAGGAAAGGACAGGGCTCTACATATACAGGGCAGTCAGAGGCCAATAGTCTAGCAGGTATTACTAAATACTAGTCTACTGCAGGTAATCCCTAAATTGTCAGCAGTTCAAGACCTGTGGATGGGGGTTCAGTTAGTCCAAATAATCCTTAATTGTACTAATTCCTACTCTCCTCTGTATTGTGTTTTTCCTGAACTATGTCTCAAACTGCTCTGGGAAAATCCACAGAACCGGTCTTATAAGTAACCTAATCACTGATTTTTAGAGATAGGGAACAAGTGTTACTGATTAATTATAACAGTAATTTGTCTAACTAGTCCTTTTGTGATGAGAGGTTCTCGGTCTTCTTCCTTGTGATCTCTACAATGACTTAATCACCTGTTTAACTGGACAGTTAAAATGTTTTTAAGAAAGAGATGACATAACAGTTACCAGTGAAAGCTGCTGGACTGGAGTTCTCCCAGAGCACATTCTGTGATATCTGATTGAAGGAGCTCGGCAAAACCCGCTGCCCTGTTATCCACCAGGAGTAAACCAGAGGATCCCCACCCCAAACCCCAACAGGACCGCCAGTTCCTACATTGTAGGACTTGGGTTGTGAGACTTCTAGACTTCAGTCTGAAGGTAAAACCTTCGATTTTGAAATTGCAAGACCCGTGCTGCCCGGGTCATCTGACCGGAGAGATTTGGGCGCTGGGTTTGCAACACGTTGCTATGGAATGAAAATCCAGGGGAAGGAATGTGAGGATTATCTATTTAGAGCGCACATAAAAACTGCCCCGACTGGCCAAGGTAAACATTTCAAAACTGAACAGGGGTGTTTTTTTTTTTTAAAAGGAGGTGAAAATTACTTAACTCCCACCCCACCCCCTCCCCAGCTAAATTCGCATTTGGACGAAAACTGAGTCACCATTGAAGAGTCACGTTCTCTGCACTTTACGAGAGAAATTCGTCGTTAGAGGCAACTTCCCCAGGATAAAGGTAGTTGCGCTGCGCAAACAGCGGACTTCCACTTAGGTCAGGCATCATATATTGCGCTACACAATAAATATGTAGCACCCTGTACAAGAAAAAACAATAGAACTACGATGGAAAAAAAAAACAATACTGAATTCTGTACAAAAATTTGCTCAGATTCACAAAAGTGATCGTTAATACAATTTAACGTGTTTTTACAGATCATACATTTTTGATTGTGCAATACGAAACTCAGTGAAAAAAAATTATATCATTGCGGCGTTGTTTATTTTGTGAAGCAGCGACGTGTAAAAAAACATTTAAACAGTTTCTTATCCGCTGACCAGCGATATCCAATCCGTGTAATCACGCTTAGCCCTGCCTGTCCTGATTCAGCCTATTGTGATATATGTCCTTTATCCATCTAATGCAGGAGCAATGTTTTATTTTTTGCTTCCTAAAAAATACAAAACTTCCCCATGTGTGTATGCCCGACAGAAATGCAGGTGCACGGTTAGCTACTCATTAAGAATTAACTGTAGCCCCCCACCGCAAGTCTTACCTTTCCTTTAAGATCCAAGACATACACCGCACTAGCCGACATCCTGAAGCCGTTTCTTGTCACCCAGGTGGAGCGATCGATTAAGAATATTTACAGGCAATTATCAGGGAAAATTAATGCTCAATGAGATCGACAAAGCGGGTCCATGTATCCTCATACAGCGGCACCCAATTCACCATAGAACGCCAGCAAAACACCGGAAGTAGGGCGCAGCTCTTCCTCTTCCCGGAAGACAGGGCATGACGGACACTTTGAAGAGTCAATGAGTGGAGCGACACGGCATTTATCCACGCGTACAAAAGACGAGATTCGTTCTAACATCTACAACACAGTAACAGGAATGTTGATCGCTTCTTGCCCTGCTGGTATTAAGAGTTTTAACTATTGCCACTGAGTAATATTTGAATTCTCCCTTAGGCTTCATTATCTCTTTGAATGGAAATAGATTTTACAATGGAAATTAACCGCTCTCTCATTGACTCTCGTTAAATTGTCAACTGTTTTTTCTATAGGTTTTTTTTTTGCAAATAGTGTGACCCACCCTATAGAAACAGTTTCTGCACTCAATTCTACGTTTATCAAACTGTTAAGCCTTTTTTCCTTGGATCAGAGTAAAGACGTGGGTGACCTTTAAACCATTATTTTAATTTGCACAATATGTATAGGCTATGTCTATTTTCATTTTTTATTAGTTCACAGCCATGCTACTATAGCTAAAACCATTCTGTGAATTCTGGAATATGAGAGAGGTTTAGTCTATAATATTTGCATTTAATCACACACAGGTTTTCATATGGAAATTAAAAAGTTATGTGAAAAGATACTTTAGAAAAATATAATGAATGAGCTTTGATCTTTAATAAGTATAAAAAAAACATTAAACATTAATGAAAAGAAAACACACAATGGCATTAATGGTAAAACCCAAATAGTTATCATACACACGATGGCAAGCATGTCATTACAGGGAGAAACTGCATATTTATTGATGAATTGTACAGAATATCCTCTTCTCCTTTTTTCTCTCCAAACCATGATTTAAATGATGCCAAAGTCAGGAAAACATTTTAATAAAAATAACAATGAACTTAAACACATGGGATTAAGGAAACTACCAATACTATTCATATCTCAACCTTCAAGTAAGGATTTCCTAAAATCCTTTTTCAATGTCCAGTCATGAAGTTTAACGATGGGACACATCTTTTAGTGCCCCCAAATTAAAGAGGTTCACGTCCAAAGCACCAGGAGGGGCAGAGGGCTCTTGTTTATTTGGTCCAGCTGACTTTGGGGATGTCATAATGTTCCGTTAGGGTGTCCAAATGCCGGTTAAAATCCTAAAAGGCAAAAAGAAAAGCTTATTTTCTTTGTTCAGTGCTGTGTAAAAATCAGTGCAATGAAATCTCCTTTTATTTTTTGAAGGTCCATTTCCTAATCTCAAAAGATTATCCCTTAACCCAATGTGCACTGTTAGTGTAAACAAAGCGAAGTTAAAACAAAAATTCAGTTTCTTACCTCAACTCTCTGCTTGTGAGTCTTCGATGCCTTGTTTAATATTCTTTCCATTTGCTGCGTGATATGAAAAGAAATACAAACAAGAAAACTATAAACATGAACCAACGATCATTTTGCAAAAAAAAAGCTATTAGTCCTGCATTCTAAATTAAATTTAAAAACAACCCAAAGTCACCCTAGTCTCCTAAAATTCTACTGAAATAGGCACGACAAACAGAATTAACCTCTGCTTGTTCCTTTGCAAGGCTAATATACCTGAGAGCTGAGTAAAAATGTGTCGGGCAGTACTGAAGTTAAGTCACCACCTTTAGAGTGCATAAGCGAACCAAAGACATGCAGTTCAAGTGATACATAGCACTATTATAACATTTCGACGTGCTAATGTGTTATTGTTACTGGAATGACAAAACTGAAAAACCCCCGTTGAGAGAAGAAGGAAAACATACCCTCTTTTCCTGCGTCTTATCGAACGCCACCTGTGCCGGAGTCCTTTTATCGAGGTACACCCTTTTCGCCTCGTCTTCTTTAGTCTGTGTGGTCAGGATCTGCTCCAGATGCTTCTTGCTCTCCTTGGACTTCTTCTTTTTCCTACAGATGGGAAAACAGTCCCGGCACGCAATACATTAAAAACAATTTCACAAGCACCATTACCAGTTCGCCCGCCTAGTAAGCAAACCGGTATGATCCGTTCATCACAAACAGCGGATTTAAGAGTGAAGTCTACAAACAAGTAGGAGTAAAAGTACGAGATTCAGATATCGTACGGCTGCCACAGAAGGTATGACGTTTAAATAACCTGCTTGATAATTACATGATATTGATGTCTTACAGATAAATAAGAATGTATTCATATACATTACTCATGTGACTTTTAGGCCAAACGTTAGTTTGTACTTGGTTAAATAGAATACAGTATCACTCGTAAAGTCCTATTCCAGATTACGAACAAAGTCTGTTGCGTTTTTAATAACCTTACTGTCCTTACTTTTTCCCAGAGGAAAGTTCTCCAATTCCCTTCAGTTTTAAAGAGCTCTTCTGCACATCCGCGTATACGTCCGCCATCTTCCTCACGGTATGTTGTTTTTTTTTCTCTCTAGACCGGAAGCTTGGTGACGACACCGGAAACACCTATCTTAAGCGTGTTTCTACACTGATCGAGGTGCTGTACAATAATGTCTGCAAGCTTGCTGCTTTCTTTAACTAGATTGAGATTATTTGCGACCAGCACCTATGGACGCACAGGTGTAGATGATGTTTTCGGTAGAATCCAGGCCTGCGGATATGCGAAGAAACCCGGTAAGCTTAATAAGGGCGATTATGTAGTAACGTGTTCGTTTAAGTCATTAACCAACATTATCAACATTTGACCTTGACACATAAAGAAGCCTGAGCTTTCCTGGTGCGATTTGTTCAAAGGGTGTATTCTGAATCAATTATTATTTTGTTATTCCCTGTATTTTCACCCGAGTAACACCTTTCCATTCATTCGCGGTGGTGTACGAAGAGTTGCTTGACATAACGCGTTTTTGGTATCTGCATAACCGGTAACGATAAATTTTTGAACGTCATTTATGGATCCCAGTTCCTGTCATTTGCTAATTAAGCGTCTGTCATGTTTTACTTGACCTATTATGTCTTACCTCTTCTAATGAATTATCTTAGTATAAATATAGTTTATAATAGCTGGTGGCTACGGTTTAAAATTGAGACCAAATTAAAAAGAATTACAGTTCGTCCTCCTGGTTGTTAGATTTCTCATTTCTATCGATGGGGTACTGAGGTGCTGTGGTTTATTTAGTGTTTGCAATCATATTTATCCAAAGCAACTACTATGTGTATGCATTTATACAGCTGGATATTTCCTGGAACAAGCCAGCTGAACGACCTTTCCTTCCTTATGGGTACCACAGCAGTACAACACCTGGGATTTGAACCTACAACCTGTTTCAAGCTTCGAACCCTGACCACCACACTTCACTGCTACCCAAGGGCTATTAGGTGTGCTGTACACTGAAGGTGAAAGAGTTAAGATAATACCAGCCCATGGCCTACTGCCAGTGTGCTTATGTATAGTTCTAAGTGAAACAAGCATCTTGCAGGCCTTTGCTTAGTATGATACCAGATGACCTCCCTTCATTGCAAGTTTTCTCTTTTCTTTTGTTTTGTTGCCAAGCCAAAAAAACAGGGATGGATGACAAAAAAACAAGTAAGAAGTCAGGTAGACCAACTGGTGAGTTGTACCAATAAGTGGGTGTCGTTGTACACAGTCCAGTTTCAGCCCCAAGGTTTGGCCCATCGATGGCCAGTCTAAAAAGCCACCTTACGTGCAACTCTTCTGTGCCAGCTTCCTTGGAAAGTCGGGCATCTTCTCAGAGTCCAGTGACGCAGGTTCTGACTTGACTCCTGATCGCGTGATATCCTTTTAGATTTTACTGGAGCAACTGTAGGCTGCAGAGGTGCTTTGATTAGGGCAGAGGGCTACAGTAGTTGCTTTGCTGGGTGCTGTGTTCTGTCCTGCTTCTGATGAGCACCCTGGGCTTGTTCTTGAGCCACGGTGCTCGGTGTGGCTGTACGTAGGCGTAGGTGAAGTCGCTGTGTGACGGCGGCCCATGACATCGTCCTGCTGGATTAACCCCGTATTCCCCCCCGGGAAGGGGACGGGCTCTGCTCACAAGCTGGGGGAGGGGAAACGGGAACTCAAGCAGCTTATGGGCCTCTTTTCGGCCGGGGAGCTCCTCAGTTCAAGGGCCTGATCTTCCACGGAGGGCAAACAGCCAGTCTGTTGCATTTACTACTATATGTTACAGGCAGGCAGTTTGTGCAGGATTCTAAAGGCCCATCTTAAGACCGTCTTCTTGTTTGGCTTAGGAAACCAGTCATGTCATGTCATGGGCTTCCCATGCACTGTGTGTATCAGTAGTGAGAAGGTTGTTTTGGTGAGGTGGGGTGAAACCAGGCTGTACTTCCTAAGAGTCTTTCAGGGAGGCTGCAGAATCCACCCTGAGTGGCTGAATGCCCCCTGTCCCACAGCTGGGTATTTCTGTTTCCTAACTATAAACACTCTACAGCATAACAAAGCGATCGGGTGGCACAGGATCTTAATGCTAAAGTAATCGGGACACCTGGAGGCAGCATTCGAAGTCTTCTGTGGTAGTGTGCAGCAGATGAGAGTTGCTGTCAGTAAGCCATTTGCATTGCAGTGATGCTTGCAAACAAGTGTGCAAGGAGATGACCTGTGCCTGCTGAATTGGTTTAACAGATTTTTTTGCATAGTGGGTGTTAAAAAACAGTCTAAAAGAAAATCATGTGCTTGATATACCGTTAATTATGCCGAATACTTCAATAATTACTGTACTTGAGCATTTGATTAAGCAAAACTAAAACACAGCCTCTTCACTGCTGGGGGAAACCAGACCAAGTTTTACAAGATCATGGTTCTTCTTTATTTCATTTTACTTTTCCTGCCCTCCATTCACATTGGCACATCGCCTTATCCTCCTTCCACTCAAGGAGAAGTCGAGAAGACGAAGGACAGTGAGTAGGAATCAGTAGGTGTACAGTAGTAATCAAAGTAGTCATCACAATCATGGACTGCTGGGCAAAAGTCTTTTTTAAGTATCATTTTCCACTTTTCAGTGTTTAACCCCATATCCAGAAGTGCGTAATTGGTAAAACAAATTAATGAATTTAATTGGATACTGTCATCAGTCTTGCCCAACAGATCATCTTTGATAGCAGTTCTGTTTTTTGTATTCTGTTATTAATAGTACTGTTATTAATATTAATAGATTTTAGTCTAATTATAAGTGTAAATTTAGAATCCTTATTGATTGGGCCTTCTCCAGATAGAAGAGGTTGAGTACTAATCATCCATACATACCAGACCTCCCCCTCCTCCGGACAAGGGCTGCAACAATCCAGGATCGGTCCTGGAAGTTCAGACTGCAAGACATAAATGCACACCAGACAGGTCACCAGACCATCGTAGGTCACACAGGCTGTATTTAATGCCTTTGCTTTCACTGCTGATGTTAGCCGTTGATTCTCTTTTACACCAGTAGAGGGCAGCACCAACATAAGAATGGTCCATCACAATCCTGCCTATTCCTCTCCCATGGAACATAATTAAAATAAGTCAATGTTTGGTGTATACATACATGCACACACCTTGACTGTGGACTTCAATGTCAACGTCCAGAATTTCTTTTTCTACGGTGAAATTTGGATGCGGTTTTTACACTGCTAATCCATCACTAGTGGAAACCTGGGTCTTTCTCGTTGTATTTTATTGAACTAGTTTTCAATTAAAACCCACAACATGCACAAGGGAGCTTGAGAAACCGCTGTGATTCGTGTAAAAACGTACCTCTTATTTGTCTGTCTTATAAATAACATTGCTGACTGTAGATGGCAGGAAGTGACTGACAGACACTCCTGTGGGTCCTCCACCAGTTCCTCCTACAGTAGCAGATTCCCCTTTTCATCTGTATTGTCGCCCCCCCCCCGACTTTGTACGACTTTGTCGGTAACTGCGGCATGTTGTTTTTCCTATCAAGTTCCCAAAGCTCCGGAGCTGGAGAAGAAGAGACGTAAGTTAAAAGAGCAATGCGCACAAATTCGTGTTTTTCGTAGGGCGCTGAGAGCAGGAATCGGCTGGGCGCCACGCAGAGCAGAACAGCAAGGCAGCCTCCTGCCAGGCCTGTTGAAGTAGAAGCTGAGTTCCTGTTAGAGCTTCCTGTGTGAAGTCAAGTGCAGCCCCTGCAGGCGGCCTGGTTGTAGGTCTCTGAAATCCTGCACCCTCCTCGCACTCCCATATTAAGCCAGTCTCTTTTCCTGGTGTGTTATCTCTCCAGCTGGGACTGCAGCGTTGGGACGGCCCGTCTAGCTCTGTAGTTTAGGATGTTTTCCCCCTAGATGTTATCCACGGATGCGCGAGATGATCTGAGCGCGCCCCAGGAGATGTGCTCGGCTGCAGCCGGCTTTTCACTGGCGTAACCGCTGTAGAATTTGCTACCCGACAGTGCAGCAGATCAGATGGAGAGATTTCCAGTATCTTAACTTGCAATTACAGGCACACTCTGGGCTTGTAATAAAGTGGGACATGCTTTTCAAAATGCCTCTCTGCAAGGTATCACAGCGTTCTTGTTTCAGATTAAAGGTGTTCCCTTTTTTATTCTGTTTTTTTTTTTGTTTTCTTTGGCAAGTTCATTACTGCTTTCTCAAATTCTTTTTGTGTGTGGGTTTTTTTTTCCCCTTGTTTTTATGACAGCTGCAAAAGGGAAGGGGAAAGGCATGGTGAAGGACGCCCCAAAGGGTCCTGAGGTGTGCAAGGACCCAGTGAAGCTGACCTCTCATGCTATGGGAGTGAACATCTACAAGCAGGGCCAGGACACCCCACTGCAGCCACCCCACCAATACCCTGACTGGTGAGCGCTCAGTAGGCCCCACTCTTACTCTTCGCCCTCTTTGGTTTTTAAAAAAAAAAAAATGTTTTTTAGGCATTTAAAACCGGTACTGAAGCATCTCCTGCTCTGGATCCTCTTGAGACATAGGAACAAAGCTGTTCCCTTGTTTCAGTGCTGAATAAGAAGAAGACAGGGAAGTTCTATTTCATGCTATGTGTGATGTACCTCAATTATATTCAGTGCTGCTCCAGCATTTGAAGCTCTCAATTTGTTCTTGCAGGTGAAGTATTTCCTAGATTATTTGATGCTTGCTTTGTGATATCTATTCCTTTTAGGGGAAGTTACTCACAGAACAGAAGGGGTACGGTTTTGAAGTTTTAGAAGACTTTTAGAAGTTTAGAAGAAGGTAACAGTGCAGCTGTACTCACTGGTTTCCCTGCCTGTAGGCTGTTCCAGATCGACCTGGGACCCCCTAAAAAGCTTCAAGACCTGGATCCTGAGAGCAGGGAATACTGGAAACTGCTGAGGAAGGAGAACATGTGGCGCTTCAACCGACTCCACAAGGGCAAGAAGCTGTAGGGCAGCGCTGCGGACAGGCCCAAATCCTCAGGGACTTGCATGGCCCTCCACACCCCCTCCCCGCCCTCACAGAGCAGCACATGCGGACACGCCCCCTTTCAGACCTGAGCAAACGAGCCCCGACCAGGCGCGATGAACGCTGCGGAACTCTCTTGGTTCGGCGGTCTCCTCATTCGGACTTTCTCCCTGGCATCTTGCTCCTCCTGAGTCCCCTCGCTGAGTTGCTGCGGTCCAGCGTGCAGGCAGGGAGGGCTGAAGAGCAGTGCGTGTTCTCCCCCCTGAGCCACGTGACTTTTGCAAAAACAATCAGCAGATCACAGCCAGTCCTGAAACCCTGATGATTCACCACCCCAGGATGCAGATCTGACTGTATAATAATATAGACTATAATGTTTGCAAAAGAGAGGACAGTGAAATCATCTAGATACACACCCTCTGTAAAGTGCACAGGCAGCACCAGTGAGATGCCTGTGCTGTATGTACTTGCTGGGTTTTGTGCGTTTATAATGAGGAGATCAGTGTGGAATCTTTCTCCCCTGTTCCAAAGGTGCGGTTTTTGCTGGGAGCTGTGCAGCACACAGAAGAGAGTGTTAAAGGAAAAGGACCTTGGTAATGAGAGCTGGCTGATGGCCGAGATAGGAGGCTTACAGTGTGAAATGAGAACATGCAACAGCTTGTGCATTTTATAGAAATGTGTTGGGCGGGGGAAGCGTGTAATATGAAATAAATAATTTTGTTAAAGGGCACTGTGTATATAAGATAAATTCATTACAGGAAGTCATTACTATAGCAATTCCCTATTGCAGGTAAAAAAAATTGCATTTATGTACAGAGTAAATGTAGCTTGTATAAATAAGATCACACCAGAAGAAGGCTCCATAGCCAAATCATTGTTTCTTCTCTTTTCAGCCTGGAATAAACCTTTACTTGTTCCTAAATAAGTAACATGCTTACTATTATTGTACATAAAAAGCTTGAAGCTCACTTCAGCCCAGAAGTGGTTTTACAGCCGCTGGTCTCGGTCCTTCTGATTATTAATTGTCAGGGCGCAAAGTTCAACCTCGGCAGGTGTTTTTTTTTTTAGAAACACTGTTCTCCTTTGCTCATGCAAATAGTGGCGGGGTGGGGGGGGAAGAGGAACAGAAGAGACAGAGGCGAAAGCAGAAGTTGAACATTTAAAGTGCTTGAGCGTGATGCAGTTTCAGGTCCTCGGCGGGTGTGTGTGTGTGCGTACGCACGTGGACGCGCGCGCGCGCGCGCCTGTCAGGCTCTTCGCTTCCTTCCGAGTTTGCCTGCGCCGGAGGGTAAAAACCAGCTAATTTTTAAACCACTTTTGACATGAGCAGTCGACGCGATCGCCCCCAGCCCTCCCTTCTTTTCAACAGCACAGCTTGTCGCTCCTTCGCTGTTGCTCTCGCCTCCGGCCTCTTTCATCATCCTGCCTGTACTTCACAAGCGCAGACACGTTGAAACTGGGGCTGAACGGTGAACACTGTTCATTGAAAACAAACTGAACTCACCGGCCTTTGCGCTGAATACTTGATCGGAGTCCCCCTGTGGCACTGATCTCCCGGAAACGAGCCAGTTAGTAGCAGGTAAGGGCAAGCTGGGCAGCTATTTATCGATGCTTCTGACGCACCGTAAATCAGGTTTAAACAATACTGCACGACTCCCGAGGAACTGCGACAGAGGAATGCTTACGAGCGAAGCGCTGAGAGGGACGCAGGTCAATTGGTTTGGAAGAATCAGGACATTTAAGCAGAGGCGACAGCAATTTTACGAATTCGAAAATAATATAGTTCTTTAGGGAAAATGCGTATATAGCGCCTTTGGGCGCCCAGCTGTGAGGTTTGCTGTTATACTCGCGTCTAAAGTGTTTTAAAACGGGTTGCTTCAGTAAAATGCCCAGGTGTGCAAATAGGTATAAGGGTAAGTGTTAGAACCGTCACACAAATGGATTAACAAAGCGAAGTTCTAATTGTTTCAACGTTTTACACAGAAATCTTCTTTTCCAGGTTGACACCTTCCGTGCGTATATTTAATAATAGCGTCTGGACGTGTTAAAACAGCCACGTTTAATTCTTAATTGTCTGTTTTTTTATTGCAGCCTATCTGTAGTATAAAAATGTTCTCGAAACTATTCGATTCTCACTTTTCTTGCTCGGTGGTTTACTGAACTCGTACGATCGTCAGATGCGCTGCTGGATTCAGTGTAACGGTCTAGCAGTTGATTTTAACAACTTTAAAAAAGTCCTTAAAAGGGGACTATTGCTTTATTTTCAGGGGGAAAAAAATTACTTCACATTGTTGTTCGAGTTATATGCTATTTCTTGCGCGGAGATGTTGAAAAGACTGGGCAAAATAATCGCCCAAGATCAACGGCCGCCTTTCGGTTTATTCTTAGTAAGAGCTTCTCCTTGACCCGTATTGAGTAGGTGTGAAGGTGCTGATTGCAATCGTTGGCACGTCTGGGAGGCGGGTGTGCTCTAAATGAACTATTAGGTTGCACTAAACGGCAGATAAAATACGCGACGCGAGAGGACGCATTTAGACTCAGAGCTCCTTGCTCGCTTGCAAAACCTGTAACACGAAAAAGCAACGTGAACGCTCTCCGCGTCTATTAGCCATCAGCTTCGTATGAATATATGACATCTGTATAAAAAGCGAGAACTCGCATGGCCCTCGGTGGCAGTGAAGGGCAGTGCCTGTCACCGCCACGGCGGGGATGCGTGCGTGCGTGGGTTGCTGAGCGGGTAGGAAGACAAAGCGCTTTGTGTCCAGCTGGCTCTCACCAGCGTGGGCGTGGGGGTGGGCTAATGTGACGCCGCGCAGACCGTCAGACCAGAACAGCGCAAACCTCCTGGTGGTTGCGGCTGAACTCGAAGTTATACACGATTTTTTTTTTTAAATTAGACGATACTTTCGGGGCGGTAGAATGATCCAATGGTGAGCGTTGCTGCCTCGCAGCGCTAGGGTTCAATCCTGGACTATGTTCACAGGGGTTTCTTAATGTTCAGCTGCTCCAGTTTCCTCCCACTGTCCAAAGACATGCTGGTGGCTTAACTGTCTTCTGGGGAAATTGGCCCTGGCGTCTGTGTGTCTGTCTGCCCTGTGACGGATTGGCATCTTCTCCAGTGTGTACCAGGCCTTGCTCATTGCTAGCGGGATCGGTTCTGGCTTACTGGACCTGAACCATCTGATGGACGCTTGGACGGACGACGGCTGTTGCCCAATAAAAGTTTATTCATCACGGAAAGTTGTGTGTTCCTCCTGGAAGCTCAGGGCACAAGGTCATCTACAGGGAAAATTCTGAGACACCCATTAACCTAGAGAACAGGTCTTTAAGAAGCTGGGAGGAAACTGGACCAGGGGAGAACATGCAGACACCACACAGAATGATCCACAATGTAAAAGCGATTGAGCCCATGGATACAGATTGATACACAGTGGCGCCAGGTTAAAAGATTAAGGGTACAGGGAGGATTAGATGAAAGATGCATTCGACTGATTGTACCTTTCCCGTGCTTACGATGATGATGTGGAAGTGGCATCTTTGTAATCTGGGTGTGCTTCTGATCTTGCCTGGGCGCTGTGCTTTCCAACACGAAGGCAGCCCTGGCCGGGAGATGGAGGAGTGGAACCTGCCCCTGGGAACTCTGGGCAATGGAGTCCTGCACCGTCTGGCTGACATGCTGGACAATCCCACTCGTGGCTGGAGGCAGCTGGCCACCGCTCTGACTGACCAGCCCCACCTGTGCTGCAGGTGAGAAGGGGGATAAAATACCAGAAGCTTTCAAGAATGGAGCCTTGTCAAAATCTTATAAACCACACGGTATATGACCTAAACAAGCATTATACGAATATAACATTTTTTCAATTCTAACAAACCATTCATTCTGTATTCTGCAGCTATCTCCTGCCTTCAGGGGATTGGCCAACTACCACTGATAAATGTTAAGCTTGTCACGAACCGTATGCCCCCACATAGCCACGAGCACCTCTCACCAGAGACAGTCACGCACTAATTAATCAATCATCATTCCACACGATTTCCCTGTTTATACCCTCTCACTCCACTCAGTCTCCGCTCACTATCGAGGTTCCCTCTCCCGAGCTCAACCTGCGTCCTGCCTTTTTGGAAAGACTCCATTCTTCTGATCGACTCTTTTGGCACTTGAAACTCTTGCTCTACCCCTCGACTACGGCTTCGCTTGGATACTTTTGGGACTTAACAGATCCCTTCCGGGGAAGGGCCTACTACCGCCTCGCATGGGGTCCAAACCAGCAGCGCCTGACAAGGCTACGTCATAAACCACGCTGTTTTCTAATGTTTCTCATGATATCATTGCTAATACTGTTTAATCAGCAATAGTAATAACATACGTTATTATCCCTGTAATAACACAGTAATAAGGACTGTAATCGGTGTAGAGCTGGCAACCTGATTGCTCTTCCTGCTGTGTCTGTGCCGCAGTGAGAAGGAACTGATGAGCTGCTCTCTGCAAGTGCTCAGTGCCAAGGGCAGCCCCAGCCGTTACCTGCTGGCCCTGCTGGCTGACCGCTCCTGCTCGCTGGGCTGCCTGCTGCAGTGCCTGAAGAGAATTGACCACCAGGAGGCTGTGCGCTACCTCACTGAGAAAGGTCTCCGCGCCGCCGGCACACAGACACTGCACTGAGCCTGCCAGGGTGACAGCTGTAGTCTGCACTTTTCACAGACCTCAGCAGGCGGGAGAGCACAGAGGTGGTTTCCTTGATTACAGGGTTATAAAGCAAGGTTAAATGTGAATTCACGTTCTACAAGTTGCACAGGTTGCTAAAATAATAACAAACTGCTCAAGTGCCCTTCAAAGTGTCACTCGTATTGCCTTTTCCTTTGATTTCGCTTGGACTATCATTGGTTGTAACAGATCTCGTTTGTTTGATCTTAACATAATACATAAAACATGATGCAAGGTGTGGCTGCAATTAAAAACTAAATCCCGTTTTAATGGACTGCAATTTCTCTTTGGTGCCTAGTTGTCCGTGCCATCGAGGGCTTTTTAAAGCGCCTTTTGGTGTTCTTCAGTAAGCAGTAAGCGGGATGCAGCCCGGACGGGACCCTAGTGTGTCGCAGGCCGCAGTGACGTCATGCTCGCAGCCCCAGAGGGCATGACTTGTTTGTCTGGCTCTCTTGTTGCTGCAGTGATGGAACAGATTCGGATTCTGGTGCAGCCGCAGGCCCAGCGTGCGCCGGAGGGCGGGCGGGTGACCTTGACCTGCAAGGCCAGCGGCCCCCCGGGCTTGGCCTACCAGTGGTTCAGAGGAAAGGAAGAGGTAGGGGACGCCCACAGCACGCCCCAGGCTGCCGAAACTTCTCAATGGCGAAAGCCTCAACATACAAGATTTACTGAGAGCATCTTGGCACAACACTCAGGCACAAAAGAACAGTTACAAACTACAGGAGGCCATTCAGCCCATCGGGACCTTTAGTTGTCAGTAGTTGATTGTTCTAAGGATCTCATCCAGCTGTGTAATGAATGGATCCAGGGTACTGGCTTCAACCACACGGATGGGTGGCTTGTCGCATACACCCACAACCCTTTGGATAAAGAAGTGCCTCCTGCGGATTCAGTTTTAAATCCACTTCCACATTGTTTCCATTCTTGTCCTCAAAATACGTATGAGGAAGCTTACTGCTTGGTATCAGTGTTTGTTCTGGTCTGGTCACTGCTACAGGTGTGTCGTGTTGCTCTTTTCACTGTGTCTGCCTGTAGCAGCACCCTGGTGCACTCCAGATGCCTCTATACTGAGCAGATTTTCAGTACCTGCCCAGAGCTCAGAGGTTCTTTAGAAAAATAGGGTTTTTTCTATGGCTGACAGACAGTCAAGACAGCTTCCGTTAATAAAATGCAGATTGTCACAAACATGCATAAAGAGGACTAAAGCAAATTGTACATTAGAGAGTGTTAAAGAATGCGACAGGAGATGTGTGTTGTAGGGAATGCTGTGGCAGTAAATGAGCTCCACTGTGTTAGTGTCAGGGTGTCCATGTGTCCTAGGTGCCCAATGGCAGCTCCCCAGAGCTGGTCATCTGCCCCTTCAGCGCTGCCCAGCAGGGACACTACATCTGCCGAGTCCACCATGGAGAGAACTTCCTCTTCTCTGACTGGGCTCAGGTGCGCCTGGCCCAGAGCAGCAGCTCCATCCCAGGTATAGCTAATAGTAATACTACTACTAACAGCAACAACTCCGAATAAGCACCTGATTCAGAAAGCTCTTATTTGATGTAAGTTTGATAATTTGATAGAGCGTGTACTTATTGTGAAATCCGTGCTGAAAAGAGAAGAGAGAAAACGCAACGTTTCGACTGTGAAGCCTTCTTGAAGAACAAGAATGAAATAAACCTATTACTTGTTCCTTTGCAGACTACACATGCTGATGCAGCTCCCCACCCGAACCACTTATTGTGAAATGTTTTTTTGTGAAATAAAGTTTATTTTGATAGGAAAAAAAACAACAACAACTACTACTAATAATGATAATAATAGTTCCTTACACATATATAGTGCTTTTCTAGACACTCCACTCTAAGCTCTTTATAGGTAATGGATTATACATTTTTTGTGAGGTAGTGACCACACTTGTATGCAATATTTGAAATGAGGTCTTACTGATGCATTGTACAATTTTAACATAACATAGAAATTTACTTTCTGCACTTTTTAAGTGATAACCTAACATTCTGTTTGCCTTTTTTATTATTTCTTATTATTTTATTTATCATCAGATTTGCTTGCTTCTCTGCCCTTTGTCCACAGTACAAACGACTCTGCTACAATGCCAAGTCTGGGATGAGGGGACCACTTGGACCACTGGCCCCAGCAGCTCTGTTAAGGCTTTGCTCAGCCACTGACTGTCTCTGTGATCTAGGGTCTCCAGCCAGTGGCTTCTTCCCCTCTGCTGTGAGCCTGCAAATCACCACACAGCCTAAGCCCCTGGCGCTGTCTGAGGGAGACCCCTTGTGCCTGGAGTGCATCGCCAAAGGCAACCCTCCACCACAGTACCAGTGGTACCACAACAAAGAGCCCATTCGTCAGGCCCTCCAGCCCCGTCTGCAGGTAAGACCCCCACTTGGAGAAGCAGCGGTGGATTCTGGGGGTTGTTAACGAAAACACCATCCAGGCGCTCAGTCCACTTCACAGTAAACGTAACACACTGGGTTTATGGATACAGATGTAATCCTGACAGGAATCCCATATCCTGTGCTTGTATGTCCAGAGACAGAACCCAAATTACACCTATACAACCCATTCCACATTCCCCTCATACCCCCCCATACAGTGTACCTGGATACCCAATACTGTTCCACACCCCGACACACCCTTTGTAAAAAAACATTTTTGCCAAAATTCAACTAGAAAATCCTTAGAAAAAAAGTGTCCCCAAATTTAGTTTTTAATCAAATCAAATGCTTTTGTACATTCGGTAACAGTGCCTCTCACATACCAGCATATCCTAAATCATGCTGCTGTTTTCACTCTGTTATAGCAGCTGAGTGTGGCCTGTGTGTGTTCTGTGTTTGCTTCCAGATCAGCTGTGTGACAACCGCAGACCGAGGCCAGTACAGCTGCAGAGTCTATAATACCTACCATGAGCTGTGGAGTGACCGGGCCCATGTGGAAATAGGTAAGAGGGGGTGAGGGAGAGCATTTCTCTGTACGGTTAATAGTTCAGAGGTACATAGCACTGATGGATCAAGGTTTGCAGTGCCTTTATCCCACTGGAGTAATTAACGGGGGTTCAACAAAACTAATTGAGAATACTGTTCCATTTTCTTGAACTCTTGGCAGTTTTGCGCTAGACTGCAGCTGCTTCAGGAGAGGAGCTATGTTGCACTGGCTTACTTACAAACCCAGGGTGAGGTTAGAGGCAGGCTGTTCTACAGTCAACATAGTAACTGTGTCAGGTTTCCTTTACAAATGGCAGACAGTTTTGAGCTGCCCTCTGATTTTAGCAAGAGTGAACTACCTACTGTGCAATAGTGAACAGAAGGGAAGACACACAGAGCAATGCAGACAAGACTGGCATCAGAGCATCTCCAGTAATCAAGCCTGTGTGGGATGAGTCAGACTGTAACTCCTGATGTCATTGTCTTTGTTTTTCTTTCTCCTCTGGATGGGCATTGTTCAGGTCCTGGCTCGTTTACTGGCTCTTCCTGGGATGAGAGAGATGAAGGTGTGTTTCCAGCCCACCCCTGCTACCCCCCCACCTACTGAAGCAAAACCCTCTCGTTCACTCTTTTTCACCAGCAGAGGGCTCTACTGTGCTCTCTCCACTAATAAATCCCCAAACCAGTCCAGTGCTTCCCAGACAGCCCAACGTCTCACATCCTTCACCAGTAGGCCACAAGATTTTAAAATAATGAGTACTGATAACACAAGAACTAACATTCATTTCAAAATGAAATGTAATTTGAATGTCAAATATTCAACTTCACTTTGTTGAAGCATGTCAGTGTGAAAGGTGAGCTTGTTGCAATGAACATAACTGTTTAATATTTCCTTCAGTATCATATAGCACAGTAATGTACTGTACTACATAATGATCTACAGGAAATTCCTGATCCACACTATGTAAACATAATCTCTTCTGTACACCTGAGACCTCTCCACTACACACTGAGCCAGCGTTCACTGTTTGAGAAGTTTAGTCAGTGAACATAAATGATGGCATTCCATGACCTGTGCTATGATTTGTGAAGTACTGTGTCTGTATAATATAGCCCCTTTGGCATCTTTTGCACTGGAAAATAAAAATTGGGAATAATTTACTGTCTTTCACAGGATTTGTCCCAGACCTAACCAGACAGCTCAGTCGCTTCTATGGTAAGTCTGAACACTGTCCATAAAAACTGAATTAAAACGAAAAAACATGATAATTAAGGATACAGGCAGCTTCTTTGTAAATGCTGTGGTGTGCCAATATATGTATGTTTATCCACATGTGATCAGGTTAGCTATATTGCTTTAAATGTACAGATAAATTTACTGCAGCCTACCTGGGTGTTGATTTAGTTCACCCTTATATCCCTTCTCACCAATTTCTAGCATTTCTGCCTCACAGAACTCCAGTCCTAGGTTCAATTCTGGACTGATTGAGGTGCTAGTCTAAGGGGAGTTTGCATGTTCTCCCTCTGTTCACCTGGTTTTGCCAGATGCTCTGGTAAGCTCCTACCTCCCAAAGGCATGCTGGGTAGGGTTCACTGAGTTTTTCCTTTCCAGGGGGTGGGACTTAAGGGGACTGCATACTTGCAGGGTTTTCCCCCCCACACAGGAGCAATATTGGTAATGCAACTCCAGAGAAATCGAACCAGACGAGCTCGATGACCCAATTTAACCTTCTGATGATGTTCAGTGTCGATAGTTCTGCCATGTTCAGCTGGCTCATGGCCTCTGCTGGACATGAGCCCGCCCTCCTCTCCCGATCTCTGTCTGTCCCCCTCTCAGCCACAGACAAGGTGGCACTGCTGATGGGCAACATGAACTATCACCACCACCGCCAGCTGCGGGCGCCCATGGCCGACGTGCACGAGCTGACCAACCTGCTGCGTCAGCTCGACTTCAAGGTGGTCTCCCTGCTGGACCTGAACAGGCAGGAGATGCAGAGTGCCGTCTCCGAGTTCCTGCTGCTGCTGGACAGAGGGGTCTACGGTCAGTCTGCCTGCTCTTCATCTGTGCTGTACCACCGTTCAGACAAAGTGCACTACGGCAGAGCATCCAGGGAAAAAAAAACAGCCTGCACCGAGAGGAACCTTTTTAAGCTTGAACAGAGGTTACGGGGGGGGGGGGGACAAAGTCATTCCAGTGGATCTCTTTCAACTGTTCAGAGGACACAATGCAGGCGCTTGTGAGAGTCTGCAGTAAGCTACCCAGGCAAGCTGCTGAAGCCCATACCCTGGCAAATCCGGATGAGGTCTTTGGATCAATTAACAACTACCAAACGGACTCGAATGACCAGGGGGCCTCCTCTGATTTGTAATCTTCCTTATGTTCTTGTGGTAAAACATCAAGAGCCACGATAAAAACGCAACAGGAATGGGGTAAAAGCATAGCAAAATGAAGTACATGCACAGTTTAAGCAAAGGAAATGATGCGAGATCCACAAAAGCACAGTTCCCTTGTACCATGTCCTGTGAGGTTTTACGCCTAGGTGGTGTACAGACTAAAGGAAAAGAATAAATACAATTGAGCGTCAATGGCAAGCCCCGCAATTAGCAATACTAGTGTGGCTGTGCGAGAATGGGCATGGGTGTGTACAGCTAACGTTCAGGGAGGTTCAGATTCATCTTACTTGGGGCTGCAGTCCTTTGAATTGCTCAGCTGGTCCAGTTGTTTTCCCCAGGGGCTCAGCGTGGCCCTTTTCTCCAGGGCCCGTGATAACCGTCCACCCCTGGTGGCCCTCGCGTGCTCCCGCAGGGCTGCTGTACTTTGCAGGCCACGGCTACGAGAACTATGGGAACAGCTTCATGGTGCCCATCGACTCCCCGGCCACCTACACCTCCGAGCACTGCCTGTGGGTGCAGGACGTCCTGCAGCGCATGCAGGAGCGCGAGACGGGCCTCAACGTCTTCCTGCTGGACATGTGTCGCAAAAGGTAAGCCTGCCCCCCCCTCCCAGCGTCCAGTCACGCCTCGTTATCTACAAGGAACAGGTACTGGCTGAATTAAAGGCATCAGTGTAAAATACCTTCGTTAAATCAGTCACAAGTTGCCTAACTAGCAGAGGGATTAGACAGAAACCCGCCAAAGGCCTCACAAGCTTTGCTTTGTCAAAAACAAGCCAAAATGGGCTTTATCTTCGTTTTCCTGGTTGGCCGCAAGCCCTTTTGTTTTCATTACCCTGATTACCTTTAATTCATTACCTTTTACCTCTTAATTGAATCAGTTTTTAATTAACCAAACTGAATTAAGTCATTAGCTGTAGAGAATTGTGCCACTAGCCCCTGGTTGCTCGCCCATTATGATTCAATGCTGTAATTTCAGCAAGTAGCCCAACGACTGACTGTCAGGTGAATGGGAGGTCTCGTTGAGGCCTACTGTATCCTTACAGCGCTGCAGTGCCCAGAAGTGCACAAATTCACGACTTTGCATTTACTCCAGGAACTTGAACGACGACATCATACCTCAGCCTGGGTCTTTGAAGGTGACGGCAAACATTGTATTTGGCTATGCCACGTGAGTCTGACCAGACCGCCTTTTCACCCTGTTTAGAAAGCTGTTACAGTCCTATGGATTTAAAGAGTCAGAAATAAAAGAGTAAGACTGATCAGTGTATTGATTTGTTTCAGCTAGCAGTCTTCAAAGAGAATTGACTGACCTGCCAGTGCCTAACTGTGGAAAAACTGAATTTCAGCTGCTTCTGTCTTGTCTTTTTCAGCGATTTCAGAAATCTCAGATATTAATTCATTGTATTGATAAGATTTTTTCTGTAATAAAGCCAGAAAGAGCCCTTTCTGTCTTTTTTACAACAAGATGCCAAACATGACTATTTCCTCCGGCGAGGATGAAATTCATGCAGTTTATTCAATATTGTTGTATTACTAAAAAAAAAGTTAAGGGAACTGGCTGTAAATTAACACACTACTGTAAGTGGATGAACTTAAATCCTGTGTTTGGCTGAGGGACTCTGTGCGTGATTGCAGGTGTGTGGACGCTGAGGCCTACGAAGTGAATAAAGGCTCCCTCTCCAATGGCATCTTTATCAGCTTCCTTAAACAGCGCCTCCTAGAGGACGAGAAGGTCACGGTCATGCTGGACAGAGTGGCTGAAGGTGACGGCCTCAGTGTCCTTGTGCGCCTTTCTCGCCTCTCCCCAGTCCGTTTCTCTCCGGATCTCTGTGCACCGACAGTGGTTGTTGGGGTTAGCCCCCCTCTCTCTCTCCCGCTGCGTGACTCCTCCGGTCTCCCTCTCTGCAGACATGGGCCAGTGTGAGATCACGCGGGGCAGACAGGCCCTGGAGCTGCGGAGTAACCTGTCCGAGAGACGGGCCCTCACTGACCGTATCCGGACCTCTGACAGCCCCGAGGTGACGTCTGCGCGCAACCTGCAGTGGGCTATCGCGCACGGTGAGATCCCCAGTCCCCGAATTCCAACCTGGCACGGAGCAGCCTGACATCCCATCCATGGGCACAGGCCCAGCCCTGACCCAGGACAGTGGCTCCTGGTCCTCCACCATGCCCAAGGACACCCAGGGTCATCCAAGACTGATTCTTAGAATAAATGCTCATGTTCTAATTTGGAACAGCATCCTTAGTGCAGCCCAAGGATTGCCAGCAGCCATATCACCCTGCAACTCACAACTGACCACCCACTTATGGTTGGGTGACATCTTGGGAAAGTTAAGGTTGCTGCTGGAAGAGGTGTTAGTGGGGCCAGCAGGGGGCGCTCACCCTGCAGTCTGTGTGGGCTCTAATGCCTCAGTATAGTGACAGGGACTGTATGCTGTAAAAAAAAAAGTCACTGTCCTCCAGATGAGACATAAACCCAAGGTCCTGTCTCTCTGTTGTCATTAAAAACCCCAAAAAGAGTAGGAGTGCTG